TGCATGTGTGTGTGTGTCCATGTGTATGTGTCGCCCGTCCATGTATACTTGTGAATCCACGGGCATGTATACATGGCTGAGATGCGTGCTAAGAAGTTGCTGTATCTCTGAGTATAAATTGATGAGCTCCTATGAGGAGAAGCCCAGTTAATTCATCTTCCCAGGTTGCTCAAGGGACATGAGAGAAACTGAGGCTCAAAGAGGTTGCTCAGGGTCTGGGTCATCCATTCTGTCACTGACTGAGGTGGAAACCAGGTGTCTTGCCTCCCGCCTTCACACCCTGCTGATTTCCAGGACCTGTCACCTAGCTCAAGCCATGTCTCTGCTTATGTTTCCAGTCTCCAGGTTAGAATGACCCTTTGCAAGGCTTGGCAACCAAAAGCCCTGGGTCTGAAGCAGACTGGGCAGTAGCCACTGATAAACCTGCATCATGCACGACCAACCTCCAAAATGAAACAGAAAATTCCCCACAGCCTGAAATCCCCAGACACCCCAGGACTGAGGTCACCGCAGTGAACAGGGCCCCCAGTGCACATTCCCACTCCCTGTCTGTGTATCTTTCTTAAAACATTCAACCCATTGATTTTTATATTACCAAAGTAACATATGTTTGTTTTAAAAAAGAATTTAAGCTGCGTAAAAATGTGTAAGTTAGAGAGGCCAGGCGTGGTGGCTCATGCCTGTAATCCCAGCACTTTGGGAGGCCGAGGTGAGTGGATCACTTGAGGTCAGGAATTCAAGACCAGCCTGGCCAACATGATGAAATCCTGTCTCTACAAAAGGAACAAAAATTAGCGAGGTTAGTGGCACTGGTCCCAGCTACTCAGAAGACTGAGGCAGAATTGCTTAAACCTGGGAGACAGAGGTTGCAGTGAGTCAAGATTGCACCACTGCACTCCAGTCTGGGCGACAGAGGGAGACTCCATCTCAAAAAAAAAAAAAAGAAAAGAAACAGCCTGGCCAACATGGTGAAATCCAGGCTCTACTAAAAATACAAAAATTAGCCAGGCATGGTGGTGGCATCTGTAATCCCAGCTACTCGGGAGGCTGAGGAAGGAGAATTGCTTGAACCCAGGGGTGGAGGTTGCAGTGAGCTGAGATCGTGCCACTGCACTCCAGCCTGGGCCACAGAGCAAGACTCTCAAAAAAAAAAAAAAGTGTAAAGTGTAAGTTAGAACCCTCCTTCACCCCCAGATCACCATTATGAATGGTGGGGTGTCTAGTGCTCTGAACTTTTCTCTCAGGAAATAATTCCTAAGGTGGCCAGTAGGCCCAGCTCAGAAAATGACCTTCAAGGGCAGCTCAGTATGAGTAGAGGGGAAAAGGAACAGAATCTAACCAACCAGGCTGAGGCCAGGCCTTGGGGCGAATGGATCAAACCACATGTTCCAAGGGATGGCCAACCCCAAATGCTGGAGGCTCTGATGGAACTTCTGTCACTCAGTACTTTGGGCCCTCAGAACTGCCACTGACCTTGACAGTCAAGTCACAGAATCGTAGGACTGAAAGAAGCCTGAAAGTCCATCTGGTCCTATCTGCCCATTTTAGAGACGGGGAAACTGAGGACCGACAACTAAGCTGACTCCAGGAGGGAATCTGGCCAACTAAGCACCTTCCAGAGCCTGCTGGGCCTCTGTCTCCAACAACAGCCCGGGAGGCAGTTGCAGGAGCGCACCAAGCCCAGGCAATTAGAAAGATGAGACAGAGAGAGAGCCAGGAAGCGCTCTAATAGCACTAGAAAGGCAGAGAAGGAGCAGTGTGTCTCCACAGCTTGAAGGCCCAGGCTGGTGTTAGAAGCTCCACCTTCAAAGTCTGGCTCTGCTGCCGCCCAGCCATGTGACCCTAGACGGTCACTTACCCGCTGAGTCTCAGCTTCCTCAGTTTTATTTTAATTTTTTAGAAACAAAGTCTTGTTCTGTCACCCACACTGGAATGCAGTGTGGCACTATCACGGCTCACTGCAGCCTCGAACTCCTGGGCTCGAGCGATCCTTCTGCCTTGGCCTCAGGAGTAGCTGGGAGTAAAGGCATGTGCCACTGTGCCTGCTCCTTTCTCATCTCATCTCAGAGCAGATAATTGTGTCTATTTCATGTTGTTGGAAGAATTAAGTGAGATAATGCAAGAAGAATTGAGCACAATGCCTGACACAGTAGGTGCCCAATAAATAACTAAAAAGAAAAAGGTAGCGGCCTGTAATCATACCTGTAATCCTAGCACTTTGGGAGGCTGAGGTAGGCAGATTGCCTGAGCTCAGGAGTTCAAGACCACCCTAGGCAGCATGGGGAAACCCTGTCTCTACTAAAATAAAATTTAAAAAAATGGTGGTACACATCTGTAGTCCCAGCTACTCGGGAGGCTGAGACAGGAGAATCGCTTGAACTCGCGAGGCGGAGGTTGTAGTGAGCCGAGACTCCAGCCTGGGTGACAGAGCAAGACCCCATTCTAAAAATAAATAAATAAATAAAATACAAAAAATTAGCCCTGCGTGGTGGCAGGTGCCTTAGTCCCAGCTACACGGGGACTAAAGCACGAGAATCTCTTGAGCCCGGGAGGTGGAGGTTGTAGTGAGCTAAGACTGTGCCACTGCACTTCAGTGTGGGGGACAGAGCAAGGCTCCGTCTCCAAATAAATAAATAAATAAATAAATAAATAAATAAATAAATACTATAAGGTAGGGAGAGAGAACGAACACACACGTCAAGCAGAGTGGGGTGGGGGATGCCAAAAAGCACTGCAACTCAGAATTTTCTGTTTCAGGATATTTGGAAAATCCATACTTCTGAAAAAGCCCCATCTCCCGCCCGAATTAAACAGTAACCACCCAAGGTCGGGGAAAGGGCCTTATCAGAGCAGGTTTCTCTCCAAGGGGCGGTTTGGCCTTGACCAGGTGACTCACCTGCTCTTGCCTATAAGTGTGCCCAGCCCATCCTGAGGGTCAGCCAGTCCTGAGCATCCAACCATGTTGGGCATCACTGTCCTCGCTGCACTCTTGGCCTGTGGTAAGCGGTGGGGTGGGGCTGCAGCCAGCAGGCTGTGAGCTCGGGCTGGCCTCCAGGGCAAGGACAGGATGGGAGTAGGGGGCCTCTGCTCTCCAGGTAAGACACTTTGGGGTCTCCTGTGGGTTTGGATGCTACCAACCAGCTGTGTGTCAGGCAAGCCACAGCCTGCCTAGCAACTCTGTTTCCACATCTGCAGAACAGGGAAGATGATCTGACGTGTCCCCAGTTAGAAACGAGGTGTGGAAAGCCGCACACAAGGGGCAGGGACACGAGATGCCTCATCCTGGGTTCACCCCAGGGACCATCGGGACCTGCCTTTCCCGGCACCCTCTCTCCCTTGGGGATTCTCCATTCCATCATTTGGTGGCCTTTTCCAAGATTAGGAGCCCAGGGACTTGGCTTAAATGCCACATCTTCTCTGCAGGGCCTGGAAAAGTCATTTCACCTCTCTAGATCTCACTGGCTTTTTTAGCAAAGGAGAGCACTTAATGAAGAGTCCTTCCAGCTAACAACAACAACAACAGTAATAATAGCAGCTCCTGTTTTCTGTGTATTTACTATGTGCCAGGTGCTGTGCTGGGACCCTTACATGTAGGAGCCAATTCGATCCTCAAAACAACCTTAAGAGGTAGGGTCTATTGCCAGGTACGGTGGCTCACGCCTGTAATCCCAGCACTTTGGGAGGCCGAGGTGGGTGGATCACTTGAGATCAGGAGTTCCAGACCAGCCTGGCCAACATGGTGAAACCTCATCTCTACTAAAAATACAAAAAATACAAAAATTAGCCAGGCGTGGTGGCGGGCGCCTGTAATCCCAGCTACTCAGGAGGCTGAGGCAGGAGGATCACTTGAACCCAGGAGGAGGAGGTTGCAGTGAGCCAACATCGTGCCATCAAACTCCAGCCTGGGCAACAAGAGTGAAACTCCATCTCAAAAAAAAAAAAAGAAAAGAAAAAGAAAAAGAGGTAGGGTCTATTAATAGCCCCATTTTACAGATGAGGACATCAAGGTTCAGTGCAACTTAGTATCTTGCCTGACATCACATGGCAGGTTAGTGGAAG